TGGCTTTATTTAGTCCCAGATCTACAGGAACACGTCAGCCCCAGCAGCCAGCACACACGAGGATGAGCAGTGTCCCCTCTGTCMYCTCTGTCCCCAAGCACAGCCCAGGCTCCTGGAACCACAGCCTGGCATCAGCAGCTCCATGCCCCAAGGGCTTGGCTGACCTGAGCTTCTCTGCCCAGAAATTMGACAGAATTGCCCTGAAATCAGACAGGAGTGGCTGCAGCTGCAGCCCCAATTGATGAGGGATTTTGTCCTTCAGTGACTTCACTGGAGAGAACAAAATGGGATGGATAAACATTTATTCAAACTTTCATTTGCCCATAAATTCCGTGGATGAAAGCTCATTAGAGTGCCAGTGTGGAACTGCACAAATTTCAAAGCAATTCCACAGAGCTCTGGGTCAGCTTTAGGAAAAGGGCCAAGCTGAAGGAAAAGRGAGGTTTTAATGGCAAAGGTTTCCATTTTTATTTCTGGTTCACAGCTTTGGGACACCAGCACACAACTTGGATCAAACTCTTGGAATGAGCAGAGGGTTTGGCTTTGCATTCATTGTGTTTGACATCAGTGAAAATCAGTGATCCACAMGCAGCACTTACTGTTCACAGGATTATTGTTCAGCAGGGATAAAACCACACCTGCAATAATGCAAAACTGGGAACACCAAAGGAGCAGAACCTTCATCAGAGAGCWCCATTTCTGAGTGTGCACTGAGCACCACACCATCATTGCATTGGAGGAAATTCCTCACTGTCCTGGAGCTCCCATGGCACCTTCCAGCTGAGGCTGAGGTGTTGAAATCCTTCCCCTGAGCTGCAGTTTTACAAACACCTTTCCTGTCAAACACAAACACAACTCAGAGCATCTCTGGTGCTCGTGCAGGTGTAGCCTGTGGAGAACCTGCCCTGCTCACCCCCTCAGCCACGTTCCCATGGAGATGAGGAACAGAAAATTCCTCAACAGATCACAGGAGCTGAAAAAAAACCCTCTCTTAGCATTTCTACCAAACAAAACCCACCAAAAAAACCTCTCTTGGCATATCTACCGAACAAAACCCACCAAAAAAACCTCTCTTAGTGTATCTACCAAACAAAACCCACCAAAAAAACCTCTCTTGGCATTTCTACCAAACAAAACCCACCAAAAAAACCTCTCTTAGCATATCTACCAAACAAAACCCACCAAAAAACCTCTCTTAGTGTACCTACCAAACAAAACCCACCAAAAAAACCTCTCTTAACATATATACCAAACAAAACCCACCAAAAAAACCTCTCTTAGCGTATCTACCAAACAAAACCCACCAAAAAAACCTCTCTTAGCATATCTACCAAACAAAACCCACCAAAAAAACCTCTCTTATGGAACTTCACACAGCCAAAGCAGAGCCTGGCCAAAGGAACTCGCTCAGTTTGCTGCCAATGTGAAATAGTGTTTAAAGAACTGTGATTTATTTATTACAAATCTCTCCAAAGGGCAGTGAGGAACTCTTGGAGCTGTGGTGACAATTTCTCAGCAGCACCTGCAGCGCCCGTGGGTTCTGCCTGTTCAAACCCCAGTAAAAGCCCTGAAGTTTTTTCCATTCTGGACCAGGTTTGAGAGGAGCTGGTGGGAATGAACCTCAGAGCTTTGGGGGCTCCAGACTCCCCGTGGCCCCACAAATCCCTGGTGTTGGGTAAAACTCTGCTCTGGGAAAGCTCCTGCTCTCTGCAGCGGCCTTTTCTACCTTCCTGCCYAATTAACTTGGTTTGTCACTCCAATTCCAGAGCAGCTTTCCCTGCTTTATCACTCCCTTCCTCTCACTCCAGCAGTGTTTAAAGCTACTGCATTATTTACAGCAAGCACAATATTTGGAATGTGATTTGTGCAAAGGATGGTTTACAGAAAGTTGTATTGCACTATGTACCATTCCTGCTCTCTGAGGAAGCAGATATTTAATTCCCAGAACAGTAAATCCCTTAATCTGAGCAAACCTCGATATTGAGCTGGAAACTAAAACACAATAAGTAGAAGATAACAATATTTTCACCTTTCTAGTTCTCATTAATAAGCTGCTGTCTCCAGAGCAC